TCTCGACTGCAATCCACGATGTCTAAAAATGCCCCCCACCCCTGTGCCCAGTGAATAACAAGTCTTACATTATTGCTGTGCACATGTTCTGTCGTATTTGAAAAATTCTGCATCTCTGTCACCTCTCCTGTGTAAATTTCGTTACCTCCTGCCGCTTACGCTACCGGACTTTTCCTATGCATTCTGAAATGTCCGCGATTTTGTCCCTGAAATGAATTGAGTATGATTGTGTGCTATAAAAAAGGGCGAGCCATAACCGGCCAACCTCCTGTAGATCCTTCTGCTGTCAGGAAAATCTCCTTCGAACTCCAGCCTGCAAATCGTTCTGAATACAAGTTACCCATCTGCATGATAAGTTATGTTCTCTATAAAGGCACATTCTGTTCTGGTGCCATGAGCACAAAGGGAGGCATAAGGGGCCAGAATCCGAGAGATTCTGTCAGTGTTTGGGAAGGGAGGCATAAGGGGCCAGAATCCGTTGAGATTCTGTTAGTGTCAGGGAATCCATTATGTCTTTTGATCTGTTCTGAAATGATATGATTTTTCGATTTCCATATGATATAATTTGATTTGATTTGTATAATTATGATTCTGATCCAATTCTGACACGCTTCTGTTCTGTTTTGATCTGTTCTGATACGATCCGATGCTGATTTTTTTTCCGTACGATTCTGTCTGTTTTGATGTGATGTATTTATGTTCTGTTCTGATTTGATCTGATCCGTACGATTCTAATTCTGTTCTGATTTGATATACGATTCTGTTCCAATTTCTATTTGGATTTCTGTCTGATGTGTTTGATGTGGACTCTAAGAATTTTGATTGGAGGTTTGTTGTCTTGCTGAGCTTTTGTAGCTCATCCTTGTTTTCTGCGTTGTTTTCAGGTTTTGGGAAGGGGAAGGAAGTCCAGGAATAGAAGTTCAAAGTTTGATTCCGTATAGGTATTTTTGCCCTTTTGATTTTTATACAGTCATGACTTTTCTGTTCTGCTTTTCTTTCTGTCTGAAAGCCATGAGCTGTATTTGTACATGATTCTTTTGAAGAAGAAAAATGATAGATGATCTGTTCCGCTGCATTTGATGTTTATAGTAGCTCTGCGCGTCTGTTTTTGTCTATATGTTTGGAAGAAAGTTCTGAAACAAATTCTAAAGCCAAATCCTGGAATCAGTTCAGTCAATCTGAATGTTCAGGCCCCACGACCCGATGCGAGCGGGATCCGTCCCGGTCGGGTTGGGTCGTGACAAGCCATATATCTCATGATTTATCTAGGATGAGCACGCTTAGTTGTGAATTTTCTTAATAAAATTTTAGCCATTACCCCAAAAGGCATTTCGATGTTAAGTGTTTATCTTCTTTTACTTAAGTGATTTCATAACTCTCTCACTTAAGTAACTAATATTATCGTCAGCATCTTTATCCCATAATCATCAACCAAGAAAATAGGATTTCAGAGGTGACCCCTATAAGTTCAAGTGGTGACTCTTACTATGTAGCACTTTGTCTCATATAGGGTTTAAGAGGTAACTCTTATGGCGTAGCACTTTATCTTGTATGACACTTAGTTTCTATCTCCCTACTGGTGTATTATTATGATACAATTTATAATAGTTGAAACTCTTACTTATCAAGATATTATCCATTTTATATGGCCTAAGGGCCTCACGATTTTATCATGTTGGTTTAACTTTTTAGGAGAGCACCCCTCCTAAGATTTCTTTAGGATAAGTACGCTAAATTACTAATTTTCTTAATGAAATTCCAATAATTATAGCAAAAGGCGTCAAAATTTTTAAGAGTTTAGCTTCTTTTTACTTATGTGATTTCACAACTAAATGGTTTTCTCAAGGGGGGATGATATCAAATTCTTATATTCCAAAATTAGGAAAAAAATTATAACAAATCATTTATATCTTTAGCAATGTTCAACCCTTCAACCTTTGTATACCCATGTTGTTTGCTCTATTGTTCAACACTTCCAGAATCTATACAATCTCCTCCACCTCCCAATCCAGATGTAAGTTATTTCCCTCTTGGTGATGGATTTTATCCCCTTAACTTGCTACCTCTCTCACACTTCCAATTTCTGATGCTGAAATAAAATAAGGTGTATATTCTATGGATCTTCCTTGTCTGCCCTTGGACCTGATGGGTTCAATTTTAATTTGTATAAGTCTGCTTGGGGGATGATTGACCCATCAATCTGCATGGCTGTTAGCTCCTTCTTTGCTAAAAGTTACTTCCCTGGGTGTGTTAAAGTTACAGCATTAGTCTTAATCCCCAAAATTAATCATGTTAGTTTTATTTTTGATTTTAGGCCAATCTCCCTTTGTAACACTATATATAAAAAATCATTTATAAAATCCTAGCCTCAACGTTCAAGCCTCTTGTTCTTACTAATTTTAAAGACAATTAATCTGATTTCATCAAATAATAAATTTCCACTTATTATGTTACTTTCCATGGGCTCCTTAGTTATTTCAGGAAATAAGGCCACCACAAATTTATATGTGCTAAGTTTGACATTAGAAGGGCTTTTGATATAATTTTTAGAGATTTTTTGTTTGCTAGATTGTCTCAGATAGACATTCCCCCAAATTTTATTCAATGGATCAAATCATGTACCAGTGATGTATGATTCTCTATTTATTTTGAGGGTACTATCGAAGGCTATTTTTCATATTCCAATGGTTTTAGGCAAGGATGTCCTTTAAACCCGTACTTATTCTATTTTGTGATGGATGCATTTTCCTATCTTATTGACTGTCCTGCCTCTGGTGATCCCTTTGATGCCTTGAATTTGGATGGAAACATATTGTCTCACTTGTTATATGTTGATGATTTCCACTCTTTTGGAAAGGCTATTGAGCATAATTGCATTCAATTGAACCAATTTCTTTCCTACTTTGTTTAAATCTATTACTAATAAGCTTTATTGTTAGAAACCTAAATCTCGCTCTTTTGTATATAGACTTCAATACTTAAGATGTACTATTTGGAATACATTGCTTATTGTATTAGGGGCTCCATCCTTCCAAAGTCTACTATCAGACACATTTCCAAACTCAGTGCTAAGTTATTGTATTTTGGAGGCATTGAAGTTAGGAAAATGCACCACATCTCTTAGGCAAATTCATATATTTCTAAATACTAGGGTGGTTTGGGCATTCCATCCATACAAGCAATCTATTTTGGTTACAATTGTTTTCTTATCAGCAAGATATACAGCATCTCATCTCCCCTCTCTGCTTCTTCATATACCTATCTCATTGACACCCCTCACCCTTTCACTTCTTCTTCCTTTTAGAAAAATATATGTGATATTGCATCCTTTGTTAAAGAGAAGCTTCACATGGCTGGTATATTCTTGTTCATGTTCATGGTTTGCTTGCTAATGCTATCTCACATATTCGGATTGAAAATTAATCTATTGTTTGTCTGTATTGGGATAAATATGAGGAAGGAAATTTCCAGAGGTATTTGGCTGAATTTTATAAAAATGTGATGTCTTCTTCTTGGCATAAACACCATGCCCTATGTTGTTCTACTTGTTGTTGGATGTTATTTGTGGGAGGGTTAAAAACAACTGATGTTCTTAAAATGACATCAATGTTGATCCTACATGCAGTCTTTGTCATACTTCTTTGAAAAGCACCTCTCATCTTTTCTTTGAATGCAACTTCTCTTTTATTGTTCTTGTTGACTAGGTTCCTTGGGTTAAAGATACTCTATTTAGACCTAATGTGCTTCAAACTTTTGATGCTATGGATTTTTCTTTCTCTAATGCCAAATACCTATTTATACTTATTATATGCTACTCTATTTATTGTTTATGGATATAAAGTAATGATAGGAAGTTTGTCAATGCTTATGCTAGATCTTCTTTTGCCTGGCATAAAATTAAAAATGCAATTTTTCTCAAAGTATCTACGTGGAGAATGGTGAGAAACTTTTGGAATTGTTATAACGTGGAAGCTGGTTGGATGTTTTCGTCTTTTTCTTGCTGCCTTTTTATCTGATGATATATTAAGCATTTCTTTTATGGCATGGTGGGAGTTTCGCCAATCCATGACGATGATGTCCTCCATACCCATCCCAGTCTTCTTGGATGGTATTTAGGCAACTAGGGGAATTCGTGGGTGATCTATATGCGATATGATTGATTTTCTGACTTTAATCTGAATCATGGAATACATTTTTAGCTATTTTTTCTCTCAAATGTTTTTTCTATTATTTTTATGCTCTAGTTTCATTAGTCTTTTTTTTTTTTTCAGCTAGTTTTCTTTAGAAGACTTCTTTTTGGCTCTTCTTGAGCTAGCTCTTTTTTTGCTAGAGTTTGTAGCTCCTCCTCACATGTAACTTTTTTTACTTGCAAATTTCTTTTACATAGAGCAATTAATGGGCTTTGCCCCCACTTAAAAAAAAATCATAATTTAGTTATTTTAATCTCCTAACATAATTATTTGTCAAAAAAATTTTAACTAAGTATTTCACATGATTCTATCAGTCCATATGAGTATTTATCATATGTAAACTAAAAAAATAATATAAACAAAATCAAGACTTTGTTCCCAAGCAATCTGGAACTGAATAAGTTAAATAAATGATTATTCTATTATTTAAATATTAATTATTGTTTTAAAAATATTTTTAATAATATTTACTACGCAATTCAGTCAAATCAAATTTTAGCCCATCAAATCATTGAACTATGTAGCTCAACTTTTTTTGATTTTATGTTTGATCCGATCTTTAAAATTTTGATATTATTTGAATTTATATTTTATCTATCTTATTAAACTATTTTTTAAAAATATATTAAAAAAATTAGTTTAAGTATTTGAATCAAATTTAATTAACCTTTTTTTTTTCGAATCAATGTTGCAATTAAATTAGTACTCTTCCGTAATTAAGTGATATTTTTACGATGATAAATCGGTAATTACTTTCGGACCTTTTCACCGCGTTCCAATGGCTGCGCGGGGTTTTATCCTTATAAGGAGCTAAACCCCGCGGAGAGCAGCTTTCTACTGTTCATTTCTTCTCTTCACTGTGTACACTCTCGTCATCCTTCACGGTGCCATCGAAGGCCGGAAAAGTTTTAATGGCCGCTTCTTCTATGCCGGCGACCAACCCTCTCTTCCCATTTACATCCAAGGAGAGCGTTTCTGCTATCCCGGGCCATTTAATACTCAAGATTAAACCCCGGTCCCTCTCTGGAACCATAGCCGTTCGGAGATGGAGTTGGAAATGCAACTTCGCAGCCCAGGAACGCGCTGCAAAGCAGCAGCAGCAGCGAAGGAAATCCGAGCCTGTCGTCGACCCAGTCGGCTTTCTTTCGAAGGTCGGAATCTCGGACCGTGCTTTTGCTCAGTTTCTCCGTGAACGGTAGTTCTTATTTCTCAACCGCCGCCCTTTCGCTTATTATGGTAAACGCCGTTCTGTTTGATTTGTGTTGGCCACTCGTTGTCCAGGCACAAGGCATTGAAGGACCGCAGATTTGATCTTTGTTCCCGCTTTATAGATATTATGGAGGCTTCTTCGGGGTGGGGTTACCTTTTCATTTCTCCTCGCTTTACAATTAGATATTCGAGTTTTTGGAGTAGCTAACGTGGGGAAATATCCATTTTAGACAGGTATGAGATATTAGGAATGCATCGGCACCGTCAACATCGTGTGGATTTCATGGATTGGGCTCCAGGTAACAATTTATTTCATTTCCTTTTCTTTGAACTAAAAATTTGGTGGGGTTCTCAATAAATGTATTATAATTTGCAGTAGTCATTGGAGTTTTGTTTTCTAGTTTAAGTATTATATGCATTTGAAAACAAATTTTAATAACCCAAGGAAAATTTATTGTGTCTTGATTGTTTCATGTGTTCTTTGGTTGTGTATTCTTGTATTGTTGCTCGCTCTTCTTTCTCTCTGCAGAAATAAGTCATACATTTATACCTAAGGTAGCATTTTATGTTACCCATGAGTGTTATTTATGATTGCTGAATAGCTATTTGAACTATTGGGTTGTGTTTTTTTGGTTCCTTGATTTTGTTGCTGGGCATTTCTTTTATCCTTTGTTAAATCAACAGAACTAAAGGAGATTCTACATTTAATTTATGGCGAGCTCTTTTTTGGGGGGTGAGCTTGGATCAATATATAGGGTTTTTCCATTGTGACATGGAGATCATGGGTATGAATTTTGATTAAGACTGTATATCATCTCTTCCCTTGAGCTTTATATTGATGGGAAGTCTCATGAAATGTTCAAAACAATTATTTAGTTATTTTCTAATCTTCCTTTTCGACATCTTAATGTACTACAGAAAGATGCAAGCATCCATGCCTTAGTTCTTTTTATCATTTTTGAAATAACTGATACATTTTTCCCTCCACATTTAGTTTGAAATTTGAACAGCGTTTCTCAATATTACAAAGATTTTTAGCATAGATAAAAACATTTTCTTATCTGGTTCTTTAAAAACGCATTAATTAAATTCTTTGAGGTATGTGGCTTAAGCTTGAGAATAGAGTACATGCTGAATGCCATCTTGATGATGACGCACTTAACCCCTATTTGCTACCTGCTTCCTATCGCATTGGAATAGTTCTCTTTCTTATTGTCATGAAATTTCTCTGTTTTCAAACTGTAATTACTATTTCACCCGAGTCTTTTCTTCTCTAGGTGCACGCAGGCTAGTAAATAGTTCACTGTATAATTATGCGGGATTTTAAATTTTAAAGCATAAATTTAACAAGTATCAGTCATTCATTCCAGAAATTGTACAATACAGGTTCTCGGTATTGTTCTATTGTTGGAGATTTCAATGGGTGGTCACCAACTGAAGACAGTGCTAGGGAAGGATATTATGGCCATGATGACTTTGGCTACTGGTTCATCATCCTTGAAGACAAGCTCAGGGACGGTGAAGAACCAGATGAGTATTATTTTCAAGAATATAACTATGTTGATGACTACGATACAGGTGACAATTTAAATGTTGAAGAGCTGCTTGAGAAAATAGATAATGAATACTGGGAACCAGAAGAAAAATGGTATCGCAATTCACGGTTGGAGTTTGTTGCCAAATTATATGAAGAAGTATTTGGACCTAATGGCCCCCAGACGGATGAGGAACTCGGTGAGATAGTTGATGCTGAAACACGATACAAGCAATGGAAAGAAAAGCAAAAACCTGACTCCAATACAAGGTTACCTTGTTATGAAGTTCTTGACCATGGAAAAGTTTATGATATTGAGAATGTGATTCTTGATCCAGTGTCAAAAGAGAAGTTCCGAGCGAAGAAAGCTCCTCTTGCATACTGGAAAGAAATGCGTAAAGGCCGAAAAGCATGGCTGAAGAAGTACTTGCCTACAATTTCTCATGGAAGTAGGTACAGGGTATATTTTAACACTCCTAATGGGCCTCTAGAAAGAGTTCCTGCTTGGGCAACATATGTGCTTCCAGGTATGCTTTCTATATATGGTGCCGGCTAAGATACATCAAGTATTGAGTCAATTTTAATAATTCATAATCAATTCGCCAATGATATCTCAACTCTTTGGGATGATGTTTGACCATTTTTCACCCTTTTTGTTTTCCTAAATAATTGTTATGATTATTAGTTGGCTACACTATATATTTCCATGAAACAATTACATCTGTGTCTGATATGCCTTCATTTTTTGCTTTTGTTTTTCTTAAACTGAATTGCTGTGCATACAAATTTTGAAATATATGACGAGTTTCTTTCCTAAGCCTTCCAGGTTCAATTGGAAATTCTGTTAATTACATATGGCTGATCTTTTTGTTACCTTCTGGTACGATTGCTATCTAATAGATGAAGATGGAGAAAAGTTTTGTGCGATACACTGGGAACCTCCTCCCGAAGCTGTTCATAAATGGAGAAATGCACGCCCAAAATTACCAAAATCACTCCGTGTGTATGAATGCCATGTTGGAATTAGTGGAGCAGAGCCAAAAGTGTCATCATTCAATGAATTTGTTTTGAAGGTAGTGGAGGCCTAATTCGTTGTTTGATTATCCTATCAAAATATATATTCTTTTGTTGTTAGATATTTATGTTTTTTATTTACAGGTTTTACCTCATATTAAAGAAGCAGGATATAATGCCATTCAATTAATAGGGGTGGCTGAGCATAGAGATTACTCTTCTGTTGGTTATAAAGTAAGTGATAAGCTGATTATTTAAGCTGTGTCCGTTGATATGAACCATAATCATTATTCATTATACAAATTTTTTCCAGTACAGACTGATAGCTTCTCTAACTCTATATGTTACACAGATAGTTAATTTCATGGTGAACTTGATTTGAAGCATAAAGAAATAATGATCTCGGATTTATACTTTAGAAATTTGAGACGAGAAGGAAACATTTGTTTAGCATGTAAGCCATGTAATTAAGGCATATTCTTATGCTATTAATGTTTATGAATTTTGTCTAATTTTGTGGTACTATATCAAGTATGAAGCAACTAAATCTATACATTGTTATTGAATCACCAGACATCTTGTTTTAACGAAATTTCTCCTTTGGTATCATGGAATGTTAGATGTTGAAGTCATGAGGTAGATTGAATTGAAATATGAAAAAGGCTTTATCTTCAACTTCAACAAAATTATATTCCTTGTAGAGTGAAGAATAGAAGTAGACATGTCATGATCCGGACAGGAAAAAATATTTTTTTTTTTAATTCTCTCTTTTTTTGTGTGCTTTTTACTCTTTAAAAAAATATTTAAGTGTTTTAATAAGATTTTAGCAATGAAACACCCTCTGCATTTGTGCAGCTACATTTTTTTCTTTGAACTTGACATAAAAATTTCTATTTACTGTTATACGGTAATTCCTTTATTGATTGCAGGTGACAAATTTATTTGCTGTTAGCAGTAGATATGGGACACCTGATGACTTCAAGCGCTTGGTGGATGATGCTCATGGTCTTCTCCGTTCTTTAGCTTTTTATGTTGTCATATTTGTTTTGGTACAGCGTAGTGTGGGTTTTTTTTTTAATGTTATACAATGCTACTGATTTTGTTTGAAAATTTATCCTTGGCCTTTTTTATTTTATTTTATAAAATGCTACCGATTTTGTTTGAAAATCCCATAATGCTTTAGTTTTGAATCCTGTGCTCTTTAGGAGGAACAATTATTAGGTCCTCTGACCGGATGTTGCTATAGGTTCGGCCACCAATGTTTTAACGCCACGTAGCAGCTCGAAGACCCGACCCAAGCCCGTGGTAATGTTTGAGCTTTCACGTGTTTTTCACTAATTAAGTTAAAACGGGCGGGAAAAGTTTAAAACACGCAGTTACTTTATATGTTGAATAAACTTTTGGCCGATTAGCTCCTGTAGACATAACGATATATAGTATTTAGGGTTTACAGGTAGAAGAGAAAGTTTTCGCGAAGGGTTCAAGGTGATGGATGAGAAGATTCCTGCTACTTGTTTGGAAGATTTAGACGATTTTGACGAAACATTTGGTGGCACTTATACTTTGGATGACGATTTTTCTTATTTTTTACAAGTAAATTTCTTATCCATCTATGTATAATCAATTCATTTTTGTTTGTACTGAACCTTTTGATAACTCGGTACTGCTCGATATTTCTATGTAATACTCGGTATGTTTCTTTGTACCGAGATTATAATTATGATAATTTTGTACCGAGCCTTTTTATAACTCGGTACTGCTCGATATTTATTTCTATTAATCAATATGTTTTTTTGTACCGAGATTATAATTATGATAAGTTTGTACCGAGATTTTTGAGAACTCGGTACTGCTCGGTATTTATACGTAAAATTCGTTATGGATCGTTTTTTGGTTTATTTACGTCACTTATGTCTTCTATATACTGAGATTATAATTTCCGTATCTTTGTACTGAGCTTTATATAACTCGGTATAGCTCAGTATTTATACGTAATACTCGTTATGGTGAGTTTTTTTTTGGTGAATTATGTTTATTATGTATCGATTATAACGTCCATATGTTTGTACCGAGCCTTTAGAAAACTCGGTACAGTTCGGTATTTTCATGTATTATTATGTATTGTCGGTATGCAGTCATTATGATTTTGCTCGGTATTAATTCCTTGTTACTAATATATAATATTTGAAATTTTTTTACAGGGGGTTTACAAATCTGAGAATGAAGCATATGTTAAATATTGTCAATATCCTCATGCGCATGGTTTTAGTGTTCAGAAAGAACATCTTTCATGCTGGCCTGATTCAAGGAAATTAAAATCAAAGGTTTTTGTCTGTTCCAAAGCCAGATTCAAGAAGGACACAGAAAAAAATTTGAAGGTCAAATTTTGAAAATCGACTACAAGAACTGGATGTCCCGCTATGGTGAGATTTTCTGTTAGTAAAAATGGAATATGGATGGTGAAATGTTCGGTAGAGAGTTACAACCATGAATTGACAAAATTGGATGATCAACATTTGCTGAGATCATCTAGGCACATTACTGAAGAAAATGCCTTCGTTTTGAAATTAATGTCTGAAGCGGGAATAAGAACAGTAAATGCATTTTCCTATCTATCCGATGTGGTGGGAGGTGTAGCAAATCTTGGGTTTACCAAGAGAGATGCATACAACTACTTTAAAAAGGAGAAAAGAGCAAAAATAGAGAATGGGGATACCAATTCGCTAATCGAATTGTTTTAAAACCGGGTAGCTGAAGACCACCTGTTTGCATGGGACGTGCAAACTAATGAAGAAGACAGGTTGATGAATTTTTTTTGGGTTGATGGTTTGGGGAGAGTTGATTTCGATTGCTTTGGGGATGTAATTATTTTTGATACTAGCTACCGTATTAACAAATATAATTTAGCCTGTGCCCATATTATTGGAGTTAATAATCATTGGCAAAACATTATATTAGGGGTGACATTTCTATCTGACGAAATAATTGATTCATTATGCTGGCTATTTCAAACATTTTTAAAAATTATGGATAATAAACATCCAGTTACTATATTCACTGATCCGGATCAAGCAATGACTAGGGCGATAGAGATTCTATTCCCTAGTACAAGACATCGGTTGTGCCAATGACATATACACAAGAAGGCTCCTTCAAAAGTTTGGTGTTTTAATAGTAACAACAAAGTGAAAGGCCTATTTTATAGTTGCTTCACTAAGTGTGATTCCGAGGAGAAATTTGATAGTTTGTGGAATGAGATAATCAGAGAAGGGAACCTTCAGAGCCATCAGTGGTTAAAAGATCTGTACAGAATAAGGCACAAGTGGTCTACAACTTTCAACAAAGATTGATTTAATCTTGAAATATTATCTACACAACGTAGTGAGTCCATCAATTATAATCTCGGTACAAAGAAACATACCGATTAATATAAATAAATATCGAGCGGTATCGAGTTATAAAAAGGCTCGTTACAAAATTATCATAATTATAATCTTGGTACAAAGAAACATACCGAGTATTATATAGAAATACCGAGCAGTACCGAGTTATCAAAAGGTTCGGTACAAACAAAAATGAATTGATTATATTATACATAGGTGGATAAGAAATTACTTGTGAAAAATAAGAAAAATCGTCATCCAAAGTATAAGTGTCACCAAATGTTTTGTCAAAATCGTCTAACTCTTCAAACAAGTAACAAGAATCTTCTAATCCATCGCCTTGAACCCTTCGCGAAAACCTTCTCTTATACCTGTAAACCCTAAATACTATATAACGTTATGTATACAGGAGCTAATCGGCCAAAAGTTTATTCAACATATAAAGTAACCGCGTGTTTTAAACTTTTCCCTCCCGTTTTAGCCGAATTAGTGAAAAAACACGTGAAAACTCAAACATTACCACGGGTTTGGGTCGGGTCTCCGGGCTGCTTTGTGGCGTTAAAACATTGGTGGCCGAACCTATAGCAACATCCGGTCAGAGGACCTAATAATTGTTCGTTTGGTTAGCCAATAATCAAAGCTATTTCATCAGATGTGAAAGCTAACGTCTGGCTTTTAATAACAAAACTTTCAGAATATATGTCCCACGTCGACAATAACATATAAACAATTGGAACATTATGAGGGAATCGAGGCATGTATAGGAACTGGTTAATATGTAGCTCCCGTAGGCTTGTAACAAACGGCTCCCCAAATTTCAGAACTATCTTATTACAAACTTCTCTAAAACTTGAAGTTCGACATCTAAAATAAATCTTAGGGCAATATCCCTGCATAATAAAGTAGATGTTCGATCAATTATACGTTGTATTATCATAATACCGACCAATACCGATTATTTAAAAAAAAAAAAACTTGTAACAATGTGTACCGAGTATACCTACTTGTACCGAGCACTAACAATCAGCATATTACAATATATTATATATAAATACTCATATATTTACTGTAAGTACCAAGTATTAGTTCTAAAAAAAAAGTTGTACTCGATTATACTGAGTTGTAGCCGATGTATCTAGTTATACCGAGGAGTACAATCAACATATAACATTATATTATTATATAAAATAAATCAAATATTTAGTGTAAATACGAGATTTACTCCTAAAGAAAAGGTGTACCTGTCAACCCAGTTTGACTCACCCTTTAACTTTCAAACTGGAGTATAACAGAGAAGGATTGCAACATATCAAACTCTACACTTAATAATAGGAAGCATGTAATATATCTTGCTGAACATCAAACATAATTAAAAACAAATACAGAGCTCTACTAAAACTGTCAAAATTTACTTACATACCAGAAAAGTTTATAAGATCTCCTCTAAGATCTCTTTGTACACCAAAACATATTCACACCAAAAACGATCACCACTTTCTCGCCTAGTGCCCTACGGGCTCTTTTCCCTTACCTGCAGTATAACAACTGCTAATGAGCTAGGGCTCAATGAAATACACCAGTAATGTAAAGAAATAATAAAAACATTTAACCATTAAGAAAGGCATAACATTAGTGACTAAATAATAACATGGTTAGAGCATCTTCCACATGGGTCACAAGAAAACATAACATTACCTTCCATTTTACTAATTGTTCAACACAATTCTTAACAAGTCATATGGTGGCTATAAGCTTTTGCACCCTTTCAGCTCTTCAATTCAAGGTTGGGTCTTTTTCCCAACTTTTAGAATTGACGTTGTTCTCTTAATTCAGGGTTGGGTCTAAATTCCCAACTTCTAGAATTAAGAGTATAGGCTTACCTCTTCAGGTCTTTCGCCTTTACGGGTGCGGGCTTATCCCCCAACATATGACTTAAAAGCACTTATACTCTCCTTTATTTCGAGAACATTTTCATAATCATTTCCAACGATCATATAAATTGGAATCAACTACATGTGTAATCGACATATGAATCAATTGTAATGAATTGAAATACATGCTATCATGTGAACAAAAAAAAAAAAATGATATCGTACATATGATAAATATCAATATGAACTTTTATAAAATTGTTACTATTTCTTATGCATTGCTGGGTATCTCACCTCGGTATCCCGATTCTTTCTTCTTTTGTATACCACCTCTATCACGCTCTTCATCATTTAATTTGATTTCTAAAATCAACAACCTCTCCTACAAGCCACCTTCTGAATGCTTAAACTATTGCTAGAACATGGAGGCCTATGAGTATAAAGGGAAAACACACTAGCTGTTTTTCAATACTTACAACTGCTCGTTCATCTGCAATTATCACAGTCCACAGTATTTTACCTATTTTCCCTCCTATTTCCTGAATTCTGCAATTGAATTCAACAACAACACTCAATTTACAACTTAGATTGATGTTAAAACATGGCTTCAGCATTCCTAAAGTTTAGAATAAAAATATAACATTCAGCTAACCATCCAGTGTTGGATTTCAGCAACATACCATCAAGCTTTAATCATTCTCTAATTGATTTTCTACAAACTGCAACTTGCTACACACCCTAAAATCAACAA